TTCTCTTTTGATTTTTTTTTTCCGCAAAGATGTTTCCCCTGTGTGTTCCCATTGGTCGTAACAGGGGCGTTGTTATTTCTCTTGACGGGATTAAACGATAGAATGATTGATTCGAGGGTTGGTTTTATGCACTCTTGATCATAACATAGGAGATACATATGTATGTTGCTTTTCATCTGTAGACAAGGAATGTCAAAGTTGTTTACCAATAATACCAGATTGCGGGTAATTGAGAAGGAAAAAAAAACGATTTTATCTAATTGTGGCAATAACTACAAAAGAGTGAAGATGAAACCACATGGTTATCGTAACGGCAAAAGAGAGAAGATTGACAATTCTCGTTACTAACCAGGCTAACGAATGACCTTATATTGGATGCTAATTGATAATTGGGAGAAAACCGACAATAGTTTACTATTAAACGCTGCACAAGAACCAGTACTCCCTTTTGAGTGACCATGGTTTGATTTTTCATAATTTACAATATTTTAATTTATTTTGCAGTAAAGAGCATAAATTCTCAATCATATTTTTATTTTTGCATCGGACACATATTATGAGTACTTTGAACGACACCGAAGTAGGGTTCCGAGTCCTTTTCAGTCTCAAAGTGAAACTAAAGCGTATGAATTTTATGGACACGTATTTTTCGACAAAGCATTGGCTCAATTCACCAATAAGATCGACAGGGCATGAACCCTTTGGGTCCATTGTTTTACAAAGTGAGAAAATTTGTAAGCCTTCGGTGACCCTACTAGTTTGTCTGTGGTCATGAGTAGGTTTTTCGGTCTTACTCCTTGGTTCATTTTTCGTCTCATGTATCAGGTACTTTGGTTCTTGCTGCGGTTTTAGGTTAGGATTCTCTCCAATATAAATAGTATAGGTCTACCTATTCTTCTCAATCCTAAGCGTGACCCCTGATGAGTGTCGGTTCGAGCACCGGATGAAACAACTGTCGGGAGAATACAAGTTATTTCTTTTATTTTGGTTGTTGGTGTACCAGTTATACTTGCATCTTAGAAGGTTGGTCAAATACAAAAAAATGTTGTGCTTTCATATACTTCTCTTTGGATTTTTTTAGTATTTATTGTAGGAATTTTCAATTCATTAATTGCTTATAATATATGTGATGTGCAACAATAATAGTCAAAGAACCAAGCATAGTTAAATTCAAAGACAACCGAGTATGACATGATGTAGTTTATATTGTATATAATCTTTTATGGTCCTCTCTGGTAAAGGGGTTCTTATAGTATGCGTATAAAATTTATTTCATGTTACGACCTATACCCAGTTAGTTCTATACATATGTTTTGCAATTGTAAATAAAACAGCAATAGCTAGATGATGACGTGCAACATCACTCAACCAAAGTTCTCATGATACTAGATAAAGATCTCTGCGAAAAGTCAAAAAATTTGAGTACGCTGATCTTCATGGTTCTGGTGGTTTTACAACCTATTTTCTTTTGCGCTTCATGTTAAATATTTTCTGAGTTGAGGCGCTCGGGGGATTACTTCACTCTAGACTTGTCATCTTCCTTTTTTTTTTTCTCTTCTACACCTATTTTTTGTTCCACTTGAATTGGCTTGAGTGTTTTCACACTTTGCTATGTCAATGCATGAAGTCCAATCTCTATCTGTCCGACTGACACCCAAGTGTGAATCTGCGCTCACTTGGTTTGCCTGGGCACCAGGACAAACAACCCAATATTTTCGTTGTTTACAAAACTCGTCAAGTTTATAAAAATTGAGTATTTGGATTCTTTCAGAGAAATCTTTTATTTAATTACTTATTCAATGTTTTCATGGGATTCATTGGGAAGGTTTATCGCTTTTTCTTACATAAGTCATAATAACGTCTCGTTTCACACCACGCCTCATAAATTGTTCCATTATATTGATGTTTGATTTAAGCCAACCAAAATGATCCCCGGTATCATGACATTCTCTCGAATCAAACTTTTGACAAATTGTTTGTTAGAAATGCAAATAGAGCAATGACCCTAGCCCAGTTGACAGAGCACCGGCTACTAGTGCACCTATCCCTCCTCAAACCAACTATTAACTTGTTTGTGCGTCCGTATAGGTACACCTCATGACAAGTTGTTTCATGTATTTAATTTGATAAAATGTTTGATGATTGGTGACAAGTTTGGTCAAAATGATTAGGTTTTGTTATAAATGGCATAACAAGTTGTCCGAACTTAACCTGCTCTCAAGGAACATGCAACTGAACCGAGTTCGTGAAATCAGAAAGAGCAATATCATTTCGTTACCCCTACGCTATATCGCGGTCCTTGGCACTGCATCTAATCTTTAAATTCACTTTTCTTATCATCAGTAGGAAATGTCTACCTGACAAGCATTTATGATAGAGTCCTTACCCAGTAGCAACAAGACCATAAACAGTTACGAGAGCGGTACTAAAACCAGTTCCATGAACACTACCAACAAATAATACCAGTAAATGGGACAACCACAACGAACATACAAACTATGGGTTGCGCATGCATATTCTCATGGTAAGTCAACTGACTACCTCTTGGACACTTGGGGGGGACTCAATTCCAAACTGCCTTCTGGAGCAGTGAAAGAAAACAGCAATAGAAAATGTGGGCAAGGTTAATCTTCATCTTCTCGCATTGTGGGTGAAACTTATGTATGAATGCACTTACGATCAGTCAGGGGCTCTGAGCTCCGGTGAAAACTTTTTTTTTTTTCTTCCAAAAAGCCGCCTTCTCTTCATTGGGGAACAACCATATATTTTTCTCTCACCAGGCCTTTTTTTTTCCTATTATATCTATCTATCTATCTATCTACCTATATATAGATAGATAGATATATACTTTCGGATAATTTGTAAAATACCCCCATAAGTTGAGATATATACCAAAATGCCCCTGAAAGATGTAGGTAGAGCGGAATGCTGTTTTGGGCCAAAATCTTTGGGTTGTGCCCCTATTAGGCAGGTGTGCAACTTTGCAATCTGGACCTCCCGTTTGGGCCTTGGCCTTTTGCAATAACGCCTAGGAAAAGTTGGCAAGTGCTGGGGCATTTTGCAAAGTTGGACGGTACTTGGTAGGGATATATTGCAAAGATGGGGGTCCAAACGATGCCAAGGGTATTTCACAAAACATTTTTTTGTCGGAGGGGCATTCTGCTCTACCCATATCTTTTAGGGTTATTTTGGCATATATCTCAACTTATGGGGTTATTTTGCAAATTATCTCTTTTGATTATTATTATGAAAACTACGCTATATAGTTATCTCAAATCTTTCATTGTTTTTTTTTTTTTTTTTTTTTTTTTTCTCTCATCTATCTCATCTTCTTGCGAGTACTCATCTATCTCATCCTCTCGCTCGTCTATGTATGGTACGGGGGAACACCAACCAACCCGGATCTCTCCGTAGCCCACGGGATAGGTTGGCACCACAGCAGTGGTGCAAGAGCAAGGCTGTACCAGTCGCTCATCATGGTGATGAGGGGTGGGAAGGCATTGCCAATGGGGGAAATCGGTGGTGCCAGCGCCGAGCAATGGCCAGTCACTGCACCTCCCTCTACCCCCCCTGAACCCCACATGGCGGTGCGTAATGACCAAAATTGTTGCTGCATAGCAACCAACAACATCAGCCAAGGTCCTGCCAACGCTGGCTTGGGAGGCCAAAGGTTATCTCAAGCTGGTAGAACACCATGCTTGCCCAGGCACGTACGTGAGGCCCATGGGGCTTGAACCCCCGACCTCCTGAATGCAACTTCTGTGCCTTACCCCGCCAGGCAAGCCTCAATCCCGGTGGTTCTCTTACCACCACCGGGATAGAGGCCTTGCATAAGGGCTTTTTCTCAAAAAAAAAAAAA